CTATATCTGCCATATTCAGTCGTCAAGGATAATTCTCAGATATTTGAATTCCCTAAAGCCATTTATCTTTTCTGCCCGCAATAACAAAGTGAATACCGATATCGATAAAGATAATTACATTCATAACTCTTAGAACATTAACAAAAATATCAGTCCCAGTGCACTTCCGAATTATATCGCCAATATGCATATTTCCCCGTAAAACTTCCTGGTAGCTACATATATTGATAATATTTATAATAACGCTAATAAAAATTATAAAATATCGACAATGATAACTCTATCGATAATATTTAAATAGCCATTTCTTTAAAGTAGCATAGAACTGATTTTAAACACATTTGACGAGACCAAGTCACTTCAGTATTTAAACCTTCTTTCGCCCACAGTTCAAATCCAAATACCACATTGATGTTGACTTTGAGGTGCCGAAGAAGCTCAACTGGTATTATGCGCCAGTTTTCACCGCATTCTGGATGATAATCTATTTCAGTATAGTGATTACACAAGTTAATCGTCTACCCACGCCACTAACACGGAAAGATGAGTTAACGCATCCTGATGCCTACATAGCGGAACGTGCCGAACAGATACTGATCAACCTTTCACGCATCGGCCCGAAGGTGGTGGGCAGTGAGGCGAACGAAGTGAAGGCTGTGGAATTCATAGTCGGCGAACTCAACAAAGTTAAAGAACAAATGAGCGATTACTTTGAACTGGAAATTGATGTTCAAGTGGCCACCGGTTCATATGTGCACTGGACTATGTTGAATATGTATCAGGGCATACAAAATGTGGTGGCGAAATTGAGCGAAAAAAATAATACGAGTTCGAATTATTTGCTTATGAATTCGCATTTCGACAGCGCGCCTGGCAGTCCGGGTGCATCAGATGATGGTTCGATGGTATCGACTATGTTGGAAGTGTTGCGCGTCATTGCGAAATCTGATGGACCACTCGCACATCCCATTGTGTTTCTGTTCAATGGCGCAGAGGAGAATCCTTTGCAGGCATCGCATGGTTTCATTACACAGCATAAATGGGCACAGAACTGCAAGTAAGTTCGAATCAGGAAAAATTCCTAAATCGACGTTTCGAAGTAAAGCTAGTAGTTTAAAGGCAGTTCAATTAAAAATTTTAGAACTTACGGTTGCCATCTAACATTAAGTTTAGTCAACGTTTTTTCACCTTCCTTTAGAGCTCTTATCAACTTGGACTCCGCTGGTTCAGGCGGACGTGAGGTGCTTTTCCAATCCGGACCCGGTAACCCATGGCTGATGAACTATTACCGCCGCGTGCCACATCCATTCGCGAGTACGTTGGCCGAGGAGCTCTTTCAAAATAATTTCATACCATCTGATACAGACTTTCGAATTTTTCGTGACTACGGTGGTGTGCCTGGTAGGACATCAATAGAAATTTAATTTCAAATTATTTATAACTTATCAATATAGTAAACCTTTTCTAGGTTTGGATATGGCCTATATCTTCAATGGCTATGTCTATCACACAGAGTTCGATCGCTTCAATGTCCTGGCAAAAGGTTCGCTGCAAAATACAGGCGATAATGTGCTAAGTTTAGCGAGGTCAATTGCTAACGCGCCTGAAATGGATAATCCAACGGTTAGTAAAAATATCCGACATCGATCTGTCGCTATCTCATATCACATACTTGCACATAGCCGACCATCCTTACAACATCGCATTTCTAACCTCTATTTCCCTAGGGCTACGAGTCGGGTACTGTTATTTTCTACGACTTCATCGGTTGGTTCATCCTTTACTATTCAATAAATACCAGTATCATCATCAACGGCATTGCTTGCTTGGGGGCTATCGTCGCCATATTCCTTTCGCTTTACTTCATGTCCGCCCGATCGGGGCTGGGTTGGTTAGCAATTGGTCGTCGATATGCGCTCTCGTTTGCCGTACAAGTACTCGGACTCTCATTGGGTGCAGTTTGGGTAATAATAATAGCAGTTTTTATGGACGGTGTGGGACGTTCTGAGACATGGTTCTCTAACACTTGGTTGATATATGGTCTCTATTTTTGTCCAATGTTTTTCTGCATGGGTATATTTCCGGCAATGTTTCTGGAACGTACAAAGAAGGTGAGCGCTATTCAAATGCGTTACAAAAAATACGTCTACTACATGTTTTTTTCTTTCATAGGATCTGCTGAGCTTGGGTTTTCGCATACAGCTCTTCATGCACTCGCATTGTTTAATTCTTGTTTTGCTAACGATCATCTTAACGGCGCTGAGTGTGCGTTCGGCCTATATGTGTATGATGGCTGTTTTCTTTGACATCGCAGCCTTGATCATAAACTTGATCACGAAATGGCATCGCAGAGGTAATTCATCACCTGACGCGATCATCTAGGAGGACTGTTCAATGTTGCTACAACAACATAACTTTTAGACTGCATGCCTTACATATACATACATACATAATATTGGTTTTTTTTGCTTATTATACATAAATTTATACTTTTTCCAGCATTCATTCCATCAAATATTTTTTTTACCGTTACTTTTATTTGTTCCGTTATTTTTAGCGTATTGGTTCGCTATCACCGTAATTATTTGCCAAATCTTGCCATTCATATACTACACATCAACAGCATATACCAATTTGGCCTCTATGATACCGATGGTTGGTCGCTCAGGATCCGGTACAAATCCGGATTTGCTAATTGCTGCCATTGCAATCTTCTTTTCCTGCCTATTTGCAGGTTTTCTGGTGAGTACTACTTTTACTCGCGACAATGCTCGCAAAGAAGGCTAATTTAATACGAATACTCTTTAAGATGCCGCTCTACCTGTTCTTCCGTAAAACGCGTACAATCATGCTTTGCTTCTTGGGCGTTACGATTCTCTTCATCGTACTGGCTGTAACGCCAGTTGGTTTCCCCTACACGCCCAAAGTGGCCACCCAACGCTATTCGCTGCTCGTGAGTTGCCATTGAGTTACAAAAAATAAATATCAACTTTAAAAAATGGCACCTCCTCTTTTCAGCATGCAAATCGCATACTCTATAATGCCGATGGCACAGCGCGCGTCAATGAATCGGGCATTTATATCTTCCCACAGGATCGTCGCATACACGAAGTGGATGGTAAGCGGACAATTAGTACAGCAGAGGTTTTATGGAAAAAGAGCAAAGGTTTTGAACGTACATATTTTCAGATATTATCAACAGCATCGGCGTTAAACAACAGGTCGGCGATATTTGTAACGACGAAATTTTCTGCGGCATGCCATTGTTGAATCATCGTTGGCACAAAGCCAGGTAGGTTGGTAGCAAACGGCAGCCACCTAATTGAACACACATTTGATATAATCTTTATTTATCGTCTGTTATAGAGAAACTAGTTTCTGGATAACCATAGACGAACAACCGAATATTCCCAGCGATAAACCGCTACTAACTTTGACATCCCAAACCGCATTGGATACTGCAAATACGCAGCGTTACAACTTCACGCTTGCCGGCCCCGATCACATGGCAATCTATATTGGACCTAAAGCGTCGAATAAAATTGTCAATTGGTCATTCAACGAAACAATGTTGGGCGATAGTTGGAGCCCACCGTTCTTTATTTACTACTCGTATGGTAAAGATAGCAGCGCTTTGGAGTTCTTCATCGACTTGGAGGTAATTGTGCAACCGCGAATATGTTATAATTATATGGGCTCTCGGGTTACCACCCTTCGAATCGAAGGAGACCCTGGGGTCCAAAATTTGGAGACATGCCCGTGTTCAAGTCGAGTGTTTGATAGCACAGAAAATAAGCAATTGAGGTGTTCCAAAGTTTACTTGGTTCCCGGCTTAATGCATTCATTACTACCAGTGCTTCCTATATTGAATGAAAATGCCGCCAGTAGACAGCGAACAGCCAGTAGACTTGTTATCGTTCTGTAGTCTTTCCAATAACAATACCAGTACGAATCGCTTACATAGCAATCGCTTCGAAAACTTTTTCCGTCAAGGTCCAACTGGATCGACAGCCAACACCAATGAAAATTGAAAAATCCACACTCCAATCCTCTAACTGGGTTGAAGAGAAGAACTTTTACATATTTTTATCTGTCGGAATATAATGCAATATGCAGACTTTCGGATGAAAGACACTAGGACAATACATGTATTATAGTTGGACCGCAGGAAAATAAGCGGTCTGCGCCTAAATTTAGAAGAACTGAAAATCTATCTGTAAACACTGCACGATGACGTATTTTTTCTTCGAATTCAGATTCTTAGCTTGTAAAGTTTGCTTTCCTTTCACTTTCATCTTAACTCTCCTCAATTCGTTTAACATTTAAAAACAACTAAATGGTTTCTTACTTTTTTTCTTCAACAGGTTCTCGCCGACAACTCAACCACAGAGAACTTAGAAATCGGTATAGTTGGCCATTGGATCCATCAGACGAATACACGCCCTGACGAATATGAAAAATTCATACAAAGCTTTCCGGACTATGCTTTTGTTGTCGATTGGGTTGCCACCTACGAAAGTTGGCTGTTTTGAATAGATATGTATGAGGCAATAATTAACCATTGTCATTCATATGTATGGAAACTCGAAAACGTTCACATCATGCGATTGTTAGAGCTTCTATATGTATTTGTTGTTATTTCTTACTTTTTTAAGAAATTCTCTTAACCATTAAATATTATGTGAGGCCATAAGAACCACAGTAGCCTATCAAAAAAGAAAGGTCTGATAGTTGAGAACTAACGACATAGTTGCGATCTAAGGCCTTAACTTTTACGCCTTGGAAAAAACCAGTGCTGCTCTGGTTATTTGCAAAAGGAGCAGTGCCTGCAATATCTGCAATTTTATTTTTTTTTGTTTCTTGGCCTCATATAAATACTCTAATTATATTTAAAAATTTGGAATAGTTAGCACTATTGTTCAGTTATGGAATGCACCGAAGAGCATTTGTAAAGATACTCGTAGTTTATTTATACTATTTTACAAGATACATATGTACATATGCATATAAGTATTTAAGTATATTGAATCCGAAATAAACGATATTGAGACTGTTTACTTGTTAAACTTCGTTATTTTTTTATTGAAAAAAAAATGTTCGTCCATTACTCGTAAGTTGTACTGAAAAATCAACAGAAGTAAGTATTCATTTGAGTTGTGGAAATGTGCGCCCATCGCATTGGAATAAAAGTTGTAATATGGTATCTTTGGTCGAGTAACAAAAGCGTTAGAGCACCTTTGACCCTCCAGTCTACAGCTTGCTGCCGAAATAGCTGCTAATATTTTTAGTTACCGCTTTGGGAGATTGATTAAAAATTCGATTGCCTTTAAAGCAGCGATGGGCAGAGAGAGCTTTTACTCTGCTCGCGCCTATACAAAATGTATAGAAAGCTTAAAAGAGCTTTGCCCGCGGGCAAGGCATTGCCCACCAGTGCTTTAAACCGCCAGTAGCACATTTCCTATCTTAGTGCAGTTGAACGCCGCTAGTGCAGTTCTCTCATTTCTCTTATTTCGTTCCTGAGCTCTTCTTCGATCATATTTCAACATATTTGCAAGTAAGGCTCAGTCCCAATTGAGGTTGCGGCCAGCGCCTCCCGGCTAGTCAACACGTAACGCTCTGCTACTGTGCCCTTTTGAGTTTTCGAACCAGCTGTGCACCCATCACCGCTATAAATCCGTATAAGCATTTCCTTATAGATTTCTCCTATGTAGCTCATTTAGTTCATCATTAACCGCATCCCTCTCCCATGAGGATTAGATTTTTAGATTCCGTCACACAGCGATCTTTTTATAAAGACTTTTCCTGGGCGTATAAAGTTTTCCTAAACTTATGACCAAAAATTGGAGCTAAAGATTGCACAGAACCGAAAGTGGTTTGTATCCACAAAGCAGTGGTTTTTTTTGGCCAGCTGACTTAAATTAAATTTGTTAACGAGAGAGCCTTTTTAAAGCTTTATGTTTGGAGTAAAAGCTCCCACTGGTCGTAACTATTCTAAACCAAATTAGACCACCGGAGAGGCTTTTTAAAGCTTTTTGTCCAGAGTAAAAGCTTTTTTTGGCCAAGCTGCCTTAAATTAAATCTGACAACCGGAGAGGATTTTTAACCATTTCTGTTGAGAGTAAAAGCTCCCCCTGGTCATAGCTGCCTTTAACTAAATTTGACAACCGGAGAGGCTTTTTAGAGATTTTTGTCCATAGTAAAAGCTTTTTTGGGCCAAGCTGCCTTAAATCAAATTTGCAACCGGAAAGGCTTTTTAAAGCTTTCTGTTGAGAGTAAAGCTACCCCTAGTCAAGTTGCCTTAAACCACTGATGGGCACTGCCTTGCCCACATACAAAGCTCTTTTAAGCTTTCTGTACATTTTGTATAAGCATTGGTATTATAATGATGGGTGTGTTATATATTCAGAGTCTCTTCCTCGTACTAAATTTTTGATATCTCTGCAACAAACGATATTATGAAATTACTCACTGACAAACGCGAAACCGAGCGAGAAAAATATTCTACTCACAGCGCTGCCACTGAGCATACGATATTTGGAAAAAATATACGATCAAACGCTTGAGGTTTCACTGCGAGTTGCTCCAAGTATTTACATTTATTTCTACTAATCTTTCGAATGCGTCACCGCCCAAACGCCCGATTGCGATTCTAATATAAGGTGCAAGAATTTACCGTTGATTTTTGGCAATTTTTTTCACGCATTTTCTTCCATACAACATTCACAATTTTTTTTTTTTATGGTAAAATGAGCAACACCTTTCACAAAATAAATTCCCAAAAATCAACGATAAGTCCTAGCTACTTAAAATTTTCACTTCACAAAAATGAGTACTCAGAATGCTTATAAGATATCTTATTGAAAAGTTCAAAATTTTGATGGAACTATTTCGAAGTTTGCAAATTTTTGTACAAAGTTTCAAATTTTGATTTACATGGTTTTTTTTTTAGATATCGAACTACACTTTTATAAAAAAAAAAAATAATAAACATTAAACAAACGCAAGGAAAATATCCAAGGAATGCTAAATGTCACTTCCCTATTTATATTTTCGCCACTGTACATATATAAAAAAAATGCATTATTCGCACGTGATTATTTAAACAATATTTATGGTACTTGATCATTATCGCACACATGGTGTGGTCTTAGGTCCAAAATCGCTATCTATATATACTTATAGAATACTAAGATTGTATTAAGTGCTAGGGATTTTATTCTTAATCGATTAAGTAGTCAAACAACTCGTGATTTCGAGACATTTACCACTTCAGATTTCACTCAATGCCCTATAAAAACCTAATATATTCCATTCATCAATGGTTCATTTGCTCGGAAGTGCCGGTGTGAGAGAGTTCGATTTTAGTAAACAGAAAATTAAAACTCAATGCGGTGTATTCAAATCCTATATATATAAACAAAACAAATAGTAGTAGTAGAACCCAACAAGAAAGCTCACAAAAGGTGTTTCACTCTTAATTTGCTCCGCCTAAATTAGCGTGTAATAAAAAAAGGAAAATTTTACGAAATCTTCACTATTCGATCCTAAAGTTAATGTGTAAAATGGAAGAAAATGTTTCGGATCAATCCACAAAAATGGGTGTACGTTATGCCAATTTTTTTTTTTTAATAATTTTATACTGAAAATTGTGGAAGCAGTGTGCGTTACGAACGAAATAAGCAAACGAATCAATTCTTACACGCAGACGAAAAAAAATACGACAGCATGCCAGTAAAGATAACAATAAAAATAAAACCGACAATTACGATAATAACATTAGCTTACGATAACACCATCGACCACCTAAACTGCAAATCGTTTTGTCCCTCAACAGCCCAGACTGTGTGCGGTAACTTCAAATTAATGCAAAAAAACTTTCGAAAGCTTACGAGACTAAACAAAATTTCAGGAACACAAGAACCCCAGTTCGTTCCCAGAGTTCTTGGCTACTAAGTCTATTGGGCAGCAGGTTTAGTGACTTATTTAATGCAACAGTGGTGGGTCATGGACAGAGCTCCAGTTATACAGCAGCGTAGAGCGGTGTAGGCCCTTTAGCAGCTGTATATATCCGATTGGATAGATATTTTTGGTTATAAGCCTTCTTAAGCCTCTTTAGTTTGATACATTTAACATATTGATTATTTAATTTATCTCATCAATTAATTATTAATTAAATTGAATTTTTCAAATAGATGGCAATTCTCTTTAAAAAATATTTTCATCTGTAAGCCTTCGTAAACCCCTTTCTTTTTAAACCCATACATATTACAAAATTTAATTTATTTTATCAATTTCAATAAACTCAAATTTTGAAACGGATCGCAACTTTCTAAACTTTTTTCTCTTTAAACCATCCGGATATTATAGCGAACAAATCAGAGAAATAAATAATATAAAAAAAAACTTTTTAATATACAACGCTATTATAAATGGACTAAAAAGTAGAAAATAATATTTCTCGGTCCCATAGAATTTGTTTTGAGTCGTTATAAACAATTAATGAGATTGAAAATGAAAAGCATGGGGCGCATATAATAGCCACCTGAATTGATATGAAAAGTAATATATGTATGTATGTATGTGGGTATATGAATAACGACCGCTTAAAATCGATCTCAAATTTGTACTTTCGCTGAAGAAATTTTAGGTCTATGTTATGTAGTTTGCCTATTGTCAATTAAATATAATGCTTTGTATTGCATGCGCCCCACGCTTTTCATTTTCAATCTCATAAATTATTTATAACGACTTTTGCTAAAATTTCAAAATCAAAAGTTATCAAAACAAATTCTATGGGACTGAGAAATATTATTTTCTACTTTTTTAGTCCATTTATAAGAGCGTTGTATATTAAAAAGTTTTTTTTTTTTATATTATTTATTTTCTACTTTTTTGTCTTGTCTGTATAAAATTTTGCGATAGATATTAAAATAATTCAACGATATTAATAGAAAGGTGCACACACATGCATTTACATATGTATGTACATACAAACGAGCAACAATTAATTTTATTTAAAGAAATGGCGTGTCGTCTATTTCCGCTGTAGCGAACGTAGTACATAGGGCGACATCTAGATGTCATCTACCTCGCCCTATTCACTACAGATGTCGCCCTATGCACTCGACTTTTTTATAGGAACTTTGCAAAGCAACTCGTCTGGTTTACTTCTCTCCACTTTACTTACATCACCGCATCCTGGTCAAGTTAGACAGCAAGCGTATCCTCGGTTACTAATTCCAGCCCAAAGACTTTATGTAAATCCTTAGCCAATTGGGCTTCCACGTTACTGTCCTTCGGTTTTGAGGAGTAGTTATAGAGTACCCGTGACTCAACACATCTTCCTAAATTTTGGGTGGAGCTTGTCTTCTACCTTCTTAAAGCCGGCGCTTTCCAAACGCCTGTATTGATGAGGAGATTTTGGCGCTGAATTGGTAGCAGGGCACGACTATCATCACCGGTTTCAGCTTGAAGTCATCGTGGCATTTGAAAATCTTAACTACCCGAAAAAACCACCGCGCACGTTTATTAGGTTCATCCGTCAGTTTCCATTGTCAAGCCACCTTCTGTCCATTTTGCTGATTCCGTCGATGAACACCACGAACAGGTGTCCTTTGGCCACCTCACTAATCTTCAAATCGTTAAAGTTCGAACTTTAAACAAAACAAAAGCTGACGAATGCGTTGTGTATTAGGCTACTGGGGGACTAGTCTAGGCAGCAACTTTAACTTAGTTATATATTCCTTAACCAATCGATAGAGCCAGTTATAATACCCCAAGAATATTAACGATATTTAAAAAGCCAATAAAGCGGTTTGTTTTTTACTTTCCTTTCATGTTCTCTTTTACAT